TAACGTTTATGATATTGATAGATTTTGCATTTATCATTTTTGCTTAGGGGTCACACTAAACATATCCAATTTAGTGTTCAACCACTAGAAGTCCTTTCTTAATTAGAGAGACTAGGAAAATAGTAAAAAGACACTCATTCCCCATGGAATGCTCTTCACTAAAGTGAATGAAGTTGTTGACGCCAGCACCACCGATTACGAGCAAGACAAGGGGTGACAGAGATCAACATCATCACCCTTAAGCGAATAGGGATTGTTCACTTTCTTTTAGGCTTGAAAAAGAACACATGTGAAGTAAAATTGAAGCTGGTCTTGAGCCTTCACTCAAGAAACCTACTACTTGCCACCGTTCACATGACTCACAGCCAACACAAACAGTCTAAACACTACCTTTTCCATTACCGAAAACAAAAACCACTCCCTTTCACCAAACACCACCATCAATCACCATTCATGACTCATCATCTCACTTTGATGATAAAGCCATTTCCTTCTGTCTCTCTTGCCCTCAAACCAATCCATCAAACCCACCAGCAACCACATCTAAAGCACCCTAACAAAAGAAGTCCAAAAAAAATCGTCCTATACATGGGCTACCTGAGCCCAAGATGAAGCTTGAGGAGGCACAAAGTCTGAAGTGCACCAAACATCTCTTTCAACAAGAAGCACAAAAGCATGAGAATAAAATAGTTGAGCTAGTTGTTAAGGAGAAAAATTGGTGAATTGGGGTTGGAGCTGGAGCAGATGCATGTGAAAATGCTAATAGAAGGATACCACATTGTCCCCTTGTTAAAGGGATTCTCCATGATGATGTACGACATGAACCACCTTAGGATAATGAGGGATGCCCAACATCGACTCACCAAATAAGCTTTTATTGCCAAAGATCCTCTTTCACCACTCTCGAAGAGTCTTTGTCCAACACATACAAGAGGGTCTGTTGTTGAAGAGAGTGTGTCCAACTCAAACAAAAGCATCTATAGTTGAAGACAAGACTACTAAAATATATCCAACACTCCCACAAGTCCAACCAACATATCCTATACCAATTTTTGAACCTATGGTTCCATTTGAGGAACCATGTGTAGGAACTAACGAAGTCTCGTTGATTGTTGAAGAAACTGTTGGAACTTCTACTGGAACAACCAATAATATTGCACAACCATATGTTGAATCAAGTGCAATTGAGGTTGACCCTTTGAATATGGCTACCTCAATGGTGGAGCCCAACTCTAAATGACTAGAGGACTATGCTTGGATCATTTTGCTAAGTGAAGCCATCGAAGCATTGAGTTTTGTTTTTGAGGATCTAGAGCAATTGATAGAAGAGCTCATAGACGAGGAAGATGACTCTAATTATGTTCTTATAAGCGATACTTCGCGAAGATTGTCTTAATTGAATATGGAGGAGTATCTATGTCTCTACACCATAAAGAATGCAAGATTGCTTTTTAACCTCACATTAAAGAAGTGCTTGAGGTAAAGCCCCTGGATTTGAATGCATGATTGCTTTCTACCATGGAGCTTGTCATACAATTGTGTATGAGTTCGATGATGCTTGCCATACCTGAGTCGAATTGGGATTAAAAAGAACTACTCACAACCTTCCAATCTTCAATTTTTGATTGGCACACCACGACAACCATGCCAGATCAAACTTTGGACCAAATTCTTCCAAGCTAAGTCCCAACTTAAGGCTATGCAACGCTCAATCTATAAAAGAAAGAACGCACAATCGACTATGTCAAGGACATGAGGTATTTACACTATGTCAAAGCTCATCAATTTGGAGCTTACGGTGTTAATAAGGATTACCCCATCATCACTTTGGGTCATGGAATTTTGCAATCTCCCATCACTTCAAGCACTCGTCCATCTGCTTGTAATGCTTTCTACTAATTATGGTGCCATTTTGTTTATCCATCTCCATTTTGTTTTCATTTTATTGTAAATTTACTTGTAAATATTTTCTTAATATATACATATATTGCCTCTGCTCCTACCGTTGTTACCCCTTTGCCTGAACAAGAAGCACAAGTGTTGCCATTTTCATCTATCGAGGTCCCTATCGCTTTATTGATCGTCATAAAAATGAATTCCATGGTAAACACCTTAGTCTCTACTCTCTAACAGTTCATTCGTCAATAACGATGCTTTGATTGCAAATGTTAAAAGTTGCTTACCAAACTCCATGTTGAAGTTAACTTTGTTGAAGAATCATCTTTGGACTAATGTTATTTTGTATAGTTTTTGACTTGGTGTCGACTTTTGTTGGTGCCAAAAGGGAGAGTACAATGTTATTATAATTTTTGAATTTGTTTTAAAACTACAAACTCTATGATTCCATTTCAAGGGGATTTATTTATAAAGAAGTATATATTTTCTCTGAAAGTCTTTATATATGCTTTAACATAAGTGTTATGATATATAGTTTGATCATAATATGCTGAGTTTTGTGCATGATATACTATGATAAAATGCATGTTTTTATAACCTATCTAAACATGTCAATAAATTTTGATCTAAATAAATATATATATATATATATATATTCTCTAATAAGAAACATATTGAACATTGATCATTTGTTTGAAAAATGAAATAGATTAGATTTGTTGCACTTAAAATTTTCTATTTTCAAAATCATGTTTGTCACCATCAAAAAGGGAGAGATTGTTAGATCAAAAGAAGATTTTGGATCTCTCAAGGTATAAGTTTAAATGATAACAAACTTAAACGTTTTTTAAAGAGAACAAATTTTCAAATCATACTATAAGATGAAGTATGATAGACGTTTGGTTATTTTGACATTAAGTCCTTCAAATGAATTACTTTATATGTAAGACAAAAGCATTTAATATGTATCATTTATGATGTTTGATAACTAATCATATTTGTCTATGTTATTTCTTAATAGATCGAAAAGAATAAAAAAAACTTCTTTAGTACTCACACTACAAAAAGGAACATAGATATGATTTACATCGGAGAAAGGATAAATAAATCTCTTGAAGCATGTGAAGTCTTAGAAAAAAGTCGTTTCTGATTGACACATGCAATAGTTCCTTCCATTCGATATCTTAAAGATGATAAGTAACATTCTTTATCAAATAAGAAGTGACAATTTGAATGCATTTAATGTACCAACAAACACTTTTCTCCACAAGGAATGAAGATGAAGATAGATAAACCAAGTCTATGAGAAATGTTCAAAGATTTGCAACGATCATCTTCATGAAACATCTACATAAAAAAAGTTGAAGATTTAGAAAGAATAGACACAATGGAGACAAAAAAACGATTGCAAGAATTCATATTCGTTCTTTCTGTAAAAAAACTTTGTATTTAAATTGATTGTACCACGTATTGAAAGTAAGATAAAATAATAAAGTAATTTTTCAACTTTAAATTTGTGTTATTACTTGAGTTTGAAGAGACTTGACTATAAAAGAATATTTGATTTTGAAGATTGGAGAAACTTTGTGTTCAAAGAATACTTTAGTAGTTACTTGAAAAGATAAATAAAAAAATACTTAAGTTGAGTCAGAAGTGACTTATAAAAGAATATTTGTATTTTTGTAAAAGATAATGAAACTTGGTTGAGTTAATTAAGAATTGGACCTAGTTTTAATGATTGAGACGAACTAATATAAAAATATTATGTATTTTTTTCTCTTAACTCTTTGTCAGCACTTTTAAGATTTTTTATTACTATTTCACTGTTTCAAAATAGTATTTGATTTTTTTATTGATAATATTCAACTCTTCTTCTAGTATCTTTCTTTTTTCTACAAATATACTAACTTAGTAAAGGCCTTCATCCCAACGCGAGGACTATCTAGCCTCAAGTAAGAAATATGTCATGTTACAACAACACATTCAATCGTATCTAAGTTCTACACGGTATATAAGTCAATCATCTATCAATTTATTGCATAACAAAAATATAATGATTATTCTTTTATTGATTATTTTCTATTTAACAAATATCGTAAGTGATTACAATTATTTAAAATTATTGAAAAAGAAGGCTTTTTAACGAAAATAAATTTAAAAATTAATTAAATACATGAATTAAAAAAAAATACCAATACAAGTGATTTCTACCACGTGGCAGAAATCACACTTGGCGCAAAAGGGACAGGAGTATTCTAATACAACAAAATAGTGTTTAGATGGAGCATTGGGGGATATATTCATTTATTAAATTTAAACTACATAATTTATACACTTAACATTTTAAAATTTTAAATTATTTAATTTAATATTAATAACCAAAATATCCACATTATTTTATAAAATTGCCCATTTTATAAAATATTTGTCTGTAATTGACCTAACTCAATGTTCGAATCGGCTGAACCACCAGTTTCCAGTTCAACCGATCCGATTGGTCGATCCGATCCGATTTTTAAAACATTAGTTCGTTGCGTCATCTTTGCTACCATGGATGCGATTGATGCATGATACACATGGAGCATAGCCCCCTGCGCCATTTTAACACTATTCTGTTTTATTAGATGGAATATCTCTCATGCTGCATCCAAACACTATTTTGTCTTATTGGAAGTCTCATGTCTCCCTACGCCAAGTGTAACTTCTGTCACGTGGCAGAAACCACCTATATTAATATTTTTTTAATACGTGTATTTAGTTAATTTTTAATTTATTTTCATTAATCACCTAAAAAAGAAACACTATGTGCCTCAATCATTAAAAAAAATGGATAATTATTTGAAAGATGTGTCCGTCATTTAAAAAAAATAATAAAATAAAGTAATTATTTAAAAATTGTAAGTAATTTGTAACTAGTTTAAGAAAGAAAAAATTATGAAAAAATAATTTAAAAAATAACACATGTATGAAAAAAGGCAGAGATAATTAATAATTGTTCCATAAAAGAGTAGAATAGAGGCTATCGGTAAAATTAATTATTAATAATGAAAGGAAAAGTCACACACACAAGCAATAAAGAGAGAGAGGAAAAAAAAAAAAAAAAGATAAAATACGAAAGGAGAGAGAAAGAAAGAAAGAAAATCACATTACACCTGAATTTTTGTCTATATATAACGATGAATCGGAGTTTGGATGGCTATTGCATGGTATTGGTATCGGTCACTTTATAGTTCATAGAATATATCAACGTAGGCACAGCAAACCTAACTGCACATAGAAACGCTCCATCACATCGCATGTCTTCTTCGGTTATCGCCGTTGCTACCATTCTGGTAGCGATTCTCATTTACCGCCTTTTCAAGCTCATATCTGGGCCTTCATTACCACTGCCACCTGGGCCTCGCCCATGGCCCATCGTCGGAAACTTGCCCCACATGGGCCCTGTGCCGCACCACGCCCTCGCAGCGTTGGCCCGCACCCATGGGCCTCTCATGCACCTTCGCTTGGGCTTCGTCGACGTTGTGGTGGCGGCTTCCGCCGCCGTGGCGGAGCAGTTCCTGAAGGTTCACGACGCCAATTTCTCCAGCCGGCCACCCAACTCCGGCGCCAAATACATAGCTTATAACTATCACGACCTTGTCTTTGCCCCCTACGGCCCACGGTGGCGGTTGCTCCGGAAAATTAGCTCCGTTCACTTGTTCTCCGGCAAGGCCTTGGACGACTTTAGACACGTGCGACAGGTTACAATTATTTCCTTTAATATTTTATTTTATTTTGTTTTTGCCTATTCACTAACATTAGAAAATCTAGCACAAACTTTCTGCCGAAAATGACTATCGTTCGCTGATTTAATTAACTAGTTTTTTGTACGTAAAAATAAATTAAAAAACAATATAAATAAATTAAAGAACTTGGAGCTATAACTTCTCAAGACGATCATTCTTATTCCTGGCCTACAGAATCTGATTAATTGTGATGATGGTACACACTTTCTGTTTTCTTTCATTTTTGTAGGTTTTGTTGTCTTATATTAGATCTAATAATGAATCAACAAAATTATTTGAAATAAGTTCTAGCTATATGTTGCACAAATAAAAATATTTTAAGGCTAAAAACTTATTTTTATATAGACTTGAACATCTTCCATGCATGGTCTATGATAAAAAAATATTTTTACATCGTAACTTCCAGCTTAACCTTGAAAATAATGTTTTGTTCTTGCAGCAAGACCTACCATTGAACACTTTAGACAGAACATAAATAATTAATTAAAAGTATAACTAAGAAAAATACTGATGATTTGAGTGTGACACAATCTCTGTTTGATGTGGAATTTTCAACTCTGAAAAAGAGACGTATAATTACCTAAGTTAGCTTAGAGTGAGCTTGTGTGATTTGTAAATAATTATCAATTAGTTTGATTTAACAATTGTGCAATATGAATAAAATGAAACAGTGTTGTTCAAAAATGTTTTTATCTTTAACTAACTCCTGATCATTATAATCTGATAGAATTGTTTTTGGACCACGATGTATACTTAAAAGTAAATAAATAAACCATTATCTTCAACATGTTGCTTCTTTGCTTGATAATTCTCTCGTGCCTTCTTTTACTTTTCTAAAGAGAATTAATTTGTGTTTGTTCTACCCCTATCCCCAATAAACAAATCGTTTGACTTCAGTTTATCACAATTTTGATCAACTAAATTACTTTAATAATTAACATGTGAGTTGTTGTGTGCCTGTCTTTCTTTCTCGCTTGAGGTGAACGTTATCCAACGATATTGCCAAGTCAAAAACAATATTATATATACATGGTTATTGTTAAATACAGAGTATATGTTAGTCTGTTATATATTATATAAAATATTTAAAAAAATAATGTATATAAATTTTTTATACTATTAACAAAATATGATATGAAATTTAAAATAATTATCACATCTATTCCTATATATTAAACACAATCAACTATATTGTGAGAAAGTGTTTATAGGTGCTTTTCTTTAATAAGAGAGTTTTAAAATTTATTTTAATTTTTTATCTAATTCAATTCTTATTTATTATATTTATAAATTAAATTTTAATATTTTAAAAATTATTATCAATAATTAAAAATAATTTATATGTTTAATATATATATATATATA